GCCTGGCCGAAGCCCTGATACCCCGACCCAGCGAATATTCCGCTCCGTTATGGGCCCCACCCGGCGTCTCTCTCCCTCTCTATAAAACCAAAATGCAACCATAAAATTATTTCAAACCCAAACCAAAAAGCAACCATAAAATTATTTCAAACCCAAACCAAACGGACCTCAAAACCCACCGGTGAATCTCCGACGACTGAGATGATCGACGCATTGAAGAACAAGTACCAAGTCTGCGAGGAGATCGGCCGGGGACGCTTCGGTACCATCTCCCGCCTCTTCTGTCCGACAACCCAACACTCCTACGCCTGCAAATCCATCGATAAACGCCTCCTTACCGACCCTACTGACCGCGAGTGCCTCGACAACGAGCCCAAGATCATGACCCTCCTTTCTCCTCACCCCCACATCGTCCAAGTTCACGATATTTTCGAATCCGAGGATAACCTTGAGATTGTGCTCGAACTCTGCCAGTCCGTCACGCTATACGACCAGATTATGCGCCACGCGCAGCTGCCGGAGCTGAAGGCGGCGTCGTATTTGAAGCAATTGATGCTCGCCATCGCTCATTGCCACCATTTTGGCGTCGTGCACCGGGACATCAAGCCGGACAACGTCCTGTTTGATTTCCCGAGCAAAGTCAAGCTGGCGGATTTTGGGTCCGCTACGTGGGTAGGGGAAGTGGGGTCCGTTAGTGGGCTGGTGGGGACGCCGTATTATGTGGCGCCGGAGGTGGTGAGGGGGGGAGAATACAACGAGAAGGTGGATGTGTGGAGCGCAGGGGTGGTCCTGTACGTGATGCTAGCCGGTGTGCCCCCCTTCTACGGGGAAACCGCCGCCGAGATTTTTGAGGCGATTTTGAGGGGAAATCTGAGGTTCCCTCCTCGGATTTTTCGCTCTGTTTCAACAGAAGCTAAAGATTTGCTAAGAAAGATGATTTGCAGGGATGTCTCCAAGAGATTATCTGCAGAACAAGTCCTAAGTAAGTAAAATTCTCCAATCTCTCTATGATTTCTGGGGTTTTGCCCAATTTTCTCACGAACCAAACAGATTTCTAGAATTCTAATTCTCTGTTTTTGTCAAAATGCAGAGCATCCATGGATCTTAAATGAGGGAGAAACAGCATCAATAGACTGATACAAACCTGGAAATACCCAAAATATAATACGGATCTTAAGGGAGAAGAAGAAGAACATTAGTTCTTCCTAGTGTAAGAATTAGCAGAAACCAGAAAGGATGCCACTTTTTCTGCATACTACAAGACAAAACTCCATTGATGAATGCTTCGAGAGAATTCAGTTATTCTGAGTCGTGAGGAGTTAAATGGACAAGAGAGAATCACACTGGTGCTTTTGCTCTGATTTTAAGGAACTGTAGCAGAAGTAGTTTCGGTTTTTCTCTCTTTCTTTTGTAAGGTATATTTGAGGAAGAAAAAAGGAAAAGAGTGTAATCAGAAATAAAGAAGAAAGGCAAGGGAAGAACCCTGTCTTCCCCCGCCTTTGCTTTTTCTTGTGAAGAAAGTAAGATGGATGCGACAAAGCAGTGAAAAGTAGCATTGTACCTGCAGCCTTTGTATAACATATGGATGTATATGGAATAAAGACTGAGCTTCCTTTTGTTGTATTTTGTTGAAATTTCTTATGGACGCGTTAGATGAATAGAGGTACGGCTTCGGTGGTACTTTTCTTCTTACCTCTTCCAAATATGAATTTAGTAAATCTAGCAATCTAAGGTTGTGTTTTATGGGCACCTGGCCCATGCGGTCTAGTGGCAATAGTCACTCCGGTGCATTCTCTCCTCTCGGACTGAGTTCGAATTCTGCCCTTGCAAATATGTTCAAAAAAAAAAAAAGGTTGTGTTTTATGGAGAAGCTCCTGGCAGAACAATTGACTGTTGTGCACATGGTACTTCTCGCTCAACTTGAGTTGGAGTTCTTTTCATTCTTTTATCCCCGGCCATAATGCAACATTGTTAATAAAAATTTGTATTTTATGGATAAAAAAATAAATACTAAAATAATTTTTTTTAAATAATTTAAAGTTTAGAGTAAATAAGATCTAATGTAAATTTTAAATAACGAGAATTTAGTATTAAAAAACTATATAAGGTTTTTTAAATTGATATATTGCCTTACACTTCACTAGAGAAACAAAGATAAAAAAATTTATAATAATAATTTCATGATAGATTTAATAAAATTATG